GTGCGGCTGCCAGGGGCGGCGATAGGGGCGAATGGCCCAGCGGGGAGCAATACGTGCATCCAGTGGTGCCGAAAGCCCATGTCGTCGGCGAGGCTCCCCAGCGAACACAGGTGCGGGCGCGGCCGCAAGAAACCATCGCAGGAAACCCAGCCCTGAAAAACCGCGCGCGGGGTGCACGCGAGGGGAAGCCTGGAGCACCCTGAACGCAGCAGCTTCTCCAACGGCCGCGGGAAGCCACCGCGCAGCGCGCGGAGCGAAGAAACCCAGGATACCCTGACGAGAAGCATATGGCTTCTTGATGCGCGCCCACACTGTGCCTGTGCTGTCCGCCCCAGGGCGATGCTGCTCGGCCAGCGGCGCAGAAGCACACCTCGCACAGCTGGTCTTCCTTTTTGCGCCTCCCCGCGCCGAAGGAGGCGCCTCCTGGCACCAAGGAGGAGGGCGCCGTCGGGCGAGGCCGAGGCCAGCTGCGCGCAGCTGGTCTCGCAACCCTCCCTTGCCCGACGACGACGACGACGACGACGACGACGACGACGACGACGACGGCGACGGCGGCGACGGCGACGGCGACGGCGACGGCGACGGCGACGGCGACGGCGACGGCGACGAGCGGCCCGACCTTGGGCCGCTGCGCCTCCAAGCGGGGAGGAGAAGGCGGGCGACGCCGAGCGGCAGCAGCGGGCGCGCGGCGCGGAGCAGGAGGGGGCAGGAGCAGGGCGGGGAGGCAGGGGTGGTCTCGAGCGGAGCGGGGCGCGGCAGTGTGCGGGGCCTGGAAGGCGAGCGCGGGCGGAGGGACCCCTCGTTTGCGGTGGTGGACGGTCTCGACCGTTGGTGCTGCCTGCTGTGTGTGCGTGTCATAGAGATGCTGGCCCTGAGCTGCTCCAGATCGTGCTGTCTTGTGCTCGTGTGGGCCATCGTTGGTTGTTTCGTCCTAGGGAAGGTGGCGATGGGGGGAGAAGCAGGAAGGAGGGAGCGCTCTCGCCAAGAAATGGGCAAGAGCCGGGACGAAAAGAGCAGAGCCGTGAGTCGCCAAGGTGACCCAGTAGACCACAATAACTGAGAAAAGGGAAGGCAGATGGCCTCCGCGCGAGGCATGCGTCCACGTCCGAATGCCTGCACGGCCTACAGGGCGAGCGAGCAGGACGGTGACACGGGGGAGAGTATATCGAGAAATGGGGGGAGAATGATGAGGGAGGGTTGCCGCCGAGTAACGGCGATGCTAGAATCTAAGTGCTGTCGTGCTTGCCTGATCTCGTCTTCTGTAGCTTCATGGTGAACGGACAGCGCGACCTCAGACGTATACTCAGGGGGTGCTGACACGCACCTCGCGGTTTGAGGGCGCACTGCAGGCAAAGGTGTGGGTTGTCGGACCCCGATGGGGTCTCCCACTCGAGCGGGAACCACCATTCGACAACACACACACACACACACACCCACAGCCCCCCACCCAGAAGTCGACCCTGGGAATCCTGAGGATCGTACGGGTATGGGTGTTAGTTGCCAGCTCGTGACTTCACAGCTTCAGGGAAGAGGCGAGCCTCGGGACTTCCTCGGGCAGCGCGCTGCCTGCGCGCTGGCCCTAGGCGCACCCCACGCCGCGTCGTCGTCCCCGCCGCCGCTGCCGTCGTCGTCGCCGCCGCCGCCGTCGTGCCCTCGATCTTCGCGAATGTAAGGCCCGCGCCTTCTGAGAAGCAGCATCCCTCAAAGAAGCCCTCCCCCCCTCCCCCAGACCCCCCCCCTTGCGCGTGGTCAGCGATCCTCGACGCAGTCCCCTCGCCGACGCCGTCGTCGCCCGCATCGTCGGGGCCACCGGTCGCCTGAGCCCCCGCTCCTGGCGTGCATCATCGGCTGCTCCGCGCCAGCCCCCGGAGGCAGCCGCATCGCGGGGCCCGGCGCCCCCCCGCGGGAGGCGAAGAGGGCCCGAGCCGGCGGCGCCCTTGTGGGAGCAAGCATTACTCTCTTCGGGCCATCCTCCTCCTCGGTTCTCATCCCTCCGTCTCCGCCTCCTCCTCCTCCTCAATTCCCAACGACGACGACGACGACGACGACGACGACGACGACGACGACGACGGCGACGACGACGATAAGAACAACGACGGCGATGGCCGCGGCGTCGACGACGACGAACTGACGAGCAACGACGCCTCTGGAAGCCTCCGGTCTCCAGAGGTGCTGGAGTTTCCCCAGGGGGGCATCCAACCGGCGGGGGAGCGGCGCAGAAGGAGGAAAAGCAGAAGACTCCTGGAAGGTGGTTGCGGGAACGGCCAGTGGCTCTTACACCCGCTGAGGGGACCATCAGGACAATCGGCATCAGGCCAGGTTGAAGATGGGATGGGGGAAAGATCGGACGGCGTTCGACCGCGCTTGCACCAGCGCTTGTGCTGAATCTGACCTCCCAGGAGTTGTTCCGGGGATAGGAGGGGGGAGGCAAGGGAGATGTGAGGAAGGAGGGAGGGGGAAGGGGGAAGGAGGAGCGGAGACGAGGAAGGCACGAGTGGAAGGGTTAAGGAAAATGTACTTCCTACACTCGGGTTCATCGTGGTGTCTCCGCCACTGATCATCCAGCTTGGCCCGGTGATGGAAGAGGATGCTCACAAGGGGGGTAGAATTCGCGAGCCAACTAATCCAGCCAAACGCCACCGAGTTTGCCGATTCCGCAGAGAATCGTAATTCGACGTGTGCTCACGACGGCGACTGATGGTACTTGCCGAATTCGAGGAAAGGGCTATGCTGTCGACCGGCAGGTGTGGTGCGAGACGGCCGCGGCAGCGTCAGAACCTGTAGCTAAAGTTCGAGCCACTCACTAAGGATATTAGCGACGCCCTTCCCCAAGACGTTGCCGATCTTCAACTTGCTGAGCTTCATGCAAATTGTGCCGATTGCCATCCAGAGTATCCCAGGCATGTCCGTTAGCATGAGTTTGCCGATATGCAGCTACACATCTGTGAAAGTCAACCGGGACGTTCCGATCTACAACCAGAGCGCACAATCCAACGTCAACCCAACCGCGAATCATTTCAAACCAATGAAGAGGCGAACCACGCCGAACAGACCAGCTTTCATACAGCGCTGGACTTCAATCTCAGTGTCGATGTTCGTCCACTGCATCCTGCGCAGGTTCGCCAGCACGTGCTGGCAATCAACGTGACGATCGTCGCCCAGACTGTGCGGATCGTCATCCTGAGCGTGCTGGGCATTATCGACGATGATTTGCCGAAATGCATTCGAGCTGTGCCGAACATCACCTATGTCGTGATGTAAGACCATGTCGATCTACGCCTAGCGCGCTGGGCAGCTTCAACTAGACCACGCTTTGCCAGGAGTTCGTGCTGCCCGTCCTCATAGTGCCGCGCTAAGCCAGCTGTTCGTCGATCCGCAAATTCATCGGCGCGGACTTCTACTATAGAATTACCTCACGGGTTCTCCCGTGGGCGCCAAGAAGCTGCACTGCCTAAGCCGAAGGGAAACATAAGAACCAGATGGAGGAAGAGGAGCAGACAGGGGAAGGATTACAGGTAGAAGTAGAAGGAGAAGCAGCAGCAACAGCAGCGTCAGTAGAAGGCGAACGAGGAGAAGGAAAGGGAAGGGAGTGAGAATTAGAAAGAAGGTAACAAGGAGATGGAGAGTTACAGGAGAAGGAGGAAGAAAGAAAGGAGGAGAAGGCGGGAGAGGAGCAGGAGGAAGACGACGACGAGGGAGAGGAAGCGCAGGAAGAAGAGGAAAGGGAGAGGACGGGAAGGGGGAAGAGAGAGGAGAAGAAGGAGCACAAGAGGGGGAAGAAGGGTAGGGGAAGCAAGAGGGTGGGGGTGAGGAGACAGTGAAGGGCAGCGGGGTTGGGAGGGGGCCAGGGGGAAGCGAACGGGAGGAAGTGGATGAAAGGCTGCCAGGGGAAAAAGGAAAAGCGGGAGAGAGAGAGAGAGAGAAGCTTGGATTTCGAGCCCCGACGGACAGATCCCGGGCAGAGATCAGCACCAGAGGAGTCGCTCCACAGAGGAGGAGAGGGAGGAGGTCGCGCTGCCTCATCCGACGGACACACTCGCCAGCAGCTCGAGGCTCCAAGGGAGGAGGCCGACCGCACCCCTCCTCACCCCCACGCACGCGCTCCTGGGACAGGCTTTTACCTTGGTCCGCGCGAGCGCGCCCGCCGAGGCGCCGAGGCCGCAACTCTTGTTTGTTATTTTGTTAATTTTTTGGGGAGCGCGGAGGCGGTGAGCAGCAGCACTGCGCGGGCGCGGGCGGCGTGCCCGGCGCCGCCCGCGGGTGCCCCCGCTCCTCCTGCGCCGCCGGTGCGGCGCGCCCGTCGGTCCCCCGGCCGCGGTGCCGGGCAGGGGCGTCTTGCCCCGTGCCGCGCACCAATTCACGCGCGAGACAGAGATGCACACCGCCCGGCCCCAGGCCCTGACGTCTCCGCCCCCCTTCCCCCCATCCTTGCCCTGTCCTCCCCCTGGCCACCTCCTCCCCCATCCTCCTCGTCCTCCTGTGTTCTGGCACGACTGAGGGCTCCTCTCGAACGGTTGTCTTCCAATGGGGCACTTCCCGCTGTGAACACAGGTTCTTGTAGGGACGTGTGATGAGGGAACTTGGAGGGAGGGCATTCCCCCCGCTCATTCCCCATCCCTTCGTCCCCTCCCAACCACCACCACCATACAATTTCCATGTCTCTTCCTCCCTGTCCCCTCTCCCTCATTTCCTCCCCTACTCAGCCAGCCTTTCGCACGCTGACTCCAGCTTCTTCTTTGAGTGCTGCTGGGCAGGGATAGGTGCCTGCCTTGACTCGGGATGCTGGTGCTATTCTTGTGATCCACCTCTGCAGCCCTTGGCCCCCGACGCGAAGGCATCCCACGCGCACTGTGGTACTCGACTAGCCAGCGACCCCATCCCAACGTGCCTGCTACAAAGAAAAACAGCGCGTTGCGCCACATCTCTGGCCTCTCTGGCTGCGCAATCAGCGCGCCAGGGCCCGCCAGCACGCCATCGGACCGTGGGAGCTCAGCGTGGCGCTAGACTACAGCACTGCTGGCCGCCACCAGCAGTACCCGACCATGCTTGATGCCAACGGCACGCAGGTTGCGGAAGCCCTGCTCACTGCCTTCCGTCTTCGTCAGGCCCACTTGGCCAGAAATGAGAAGGAGTCTCGCGAAATCGTCTTGCTTCGGCGGCTTGAACGCCCTCGCTTCGGGCACTTCCGTCCAGAGATCCCTGAATGCAGCCTGCGCTCGGGCCCCCAAGGACGTCACCGCAGAATCGCACGTCTCCAGCGGCGCGGTCGCCACGTTGGCCGTTCTCAGGGCCGCTGGCAAGCCGTCGCAGCCCTTTCGTGGGGCAACGCAGACAATTGCTGAAGTCCTGCTCGCTGTCCTCCTTGGAGTAGCCAAGCGTCCCGAGGATGTCGGTGTTGCGCGTGACGCCGACGTGCTCCAACGGCTTGATCCGCGGCCACCGTGGCCCTGCATGCCAGGCACGAACCACGCCTCCGCGCGGCACGGAGACCCAACTGTACCCATCGCCGAGCTTCCACCAAAGGTTGCCCAGGCCGAAAATGAAGGGGCCCTGAGACACACAAATAAATACACACAAATAAAAGGATACCCCATATTTTCCTATATTTTCTGGGTTTCTGTCTTCCCCATATTTTCCCATATTTTTGGGGGAATCGACGAATAATTGTGTCTGTGTGTTTTTGTTCTCTCCTGAGAAAAACCTTGCCCAAGCGGCCAGTGTCGTCTCCGCGCATTGCTCGAGGCCCGCCGGGCTGACGAAGTTGCAGGCACGGACCCGTTAGTGGAATGATCCATGTCCCTGGCATCGGCAGAAGCGCGTGCGCAGTGGGCACGCGTTTCTAGAATGACTCGGGAGATCGACTTCCACAAACGAAGCACCAATGCAGTGTAAGGCGCGAAACGTGGTGCCCAGCAGTCTCACTGCTTTGGTTACCGCAGCTTGTGCCCCAAATGGCTCCGACCAAGGGTTGCAGGAGATTATCGCGCTCAACACGCATGTCCTCCACCAGATGATGCACCGTGACTTGCCCATGCAGGTGGTGGTTATGCAGGGAGCGAACCATAGTCGCACCATGATATGACGTTCGCATCACTGGAGGGACCTCGCCCCAGTGACGAGAATCCTCCCGCCGAACGGGTTATCCACCGCATCAAAAACGCGCTGCAGAGGGCAGATGGACCCTCGCGTTTCTCGCACTGTCACCGGCGCCTTGTCCGAAGCAAGCACGCACTGCAGCGAATGACATAGACTTGTCCTTGCGCTGATGCTTTACATGTCCGCCAAGGACATCGACACTGGCAAGCCAAATCGATTGTCGTGTGCGACCGAATTCCGAGAGTATACCAACTATACCGGTCCAAGCGCACGCCAGGACGACGATGCATCTGCCGCGGGCGTTGTCCTGATGAGCGGGGCTGCTTTTGCCTGACAGCTTATTTTACGGAGTTCGGAGAGGCTACGACAATCCCGACACCCGACTACTACCTTTTAAGACTGGCACCGTGACCTTGCACTTACGTTGACGGGGCGATCCCTGTCATGAACTTAGTTGGGCACTTGCAAGAGCTGTCGTCAGCTCTTACAGGGATCCGCGTTTAGGAAGTTAGGCCAGTTAAAACATATGCTCCCGTCGCCTTCACCGAAAACTGTTTTAAATACATGTGGACGGCACGAAAGAGCACGAAAGGCCGGTGACCAACCGCAATTGAAAAGAACTGAAGACCTTCCCGAGGGAGCCGGTCTCGTCGCCAGGTGCGATTGCCTCCTCATGGTCATCCTCGACATCAAGCGTCTCATCCTCGTTTTCATCCTCATCCTCGTCAGTCCGCGGCCTTCACTTGCAAGGGCGCGTGAGACATTTGGCTTTAGTTCGGGCATGTCCTCCTACAGGCGGAGCTTGGAGGGAAAATGAAAATTAGTTTTGAAAAACTTGTTTGTTGAGTATCTTGGAATCTTCCTCCTGTACAGGGACATGCCCGATTTCATTTTTGACGAACCAGCAACACACACCCATACCCATAGGGGGTCGGAGAGGGCTATGGGTGCGTGTTGTCGAATGGGGGTCCCCGCTCGAACGGGAGCGTTCCCCAGGGTCCGACAACCCGCACCCATGCCCATAGCCAGCCCTCCTCCCAACGACCCCCCTATGGGTATGGGTGTGTGTTGTTCGTTCGTGAGTTTTGGCTGTCCCCCCGCCCCTTCCCCCCTCCCTTGGGGACCAAAATCTCGCTAGAGAGGGGGGGGCGCGGGCTCCCCAGCGCACCTCCCCTGGCCCTCGGATTCTCAAAAATCCACCCACGGGGACATCCCAGGTGTTCAAAATGCCATCTACAGTCGGGGCCCTGAAGAAGGAACCCTTTTCGTTGGGGAGGGGCTCGGTGTTCCTTAGTTGTTTTGCAGTTCGCCTTTGGTTTTGCTGAGGGTTTCGATGGGAAATCGAAGTTTAACTTGTGGGAAAAAGGGGCCTCGTTCCTAATTTAGGGTTCCTTAGGTCAACGCCTCGACTGTAAGACAGGAAGCACCAGCATCGAAACGCGAAGCCGGATCGAAGTCGGAATCGAGTCGAATTTGGTGGGATCGGCCTTCACGTCGGCGATCGCCGCATCGGCTCGGAAGTCGGAAATTGAAGCCGGACAGGAATCGAAACGGAGCGATTTCTCCGAGTCGGATCGGACTCAAGGCGGAATCGGAGCGACCCGCACCGCGCAGGGAGAGCGGGGACGCCACCCTGACCCCCCTGACCAGGACGCGGCTCCCGGGGACGTGTCCCCAGCAGCTCCCGGGCGGGCGTCCCTGGCAGCCTCCCAGGAGCGGCGTCCCAGGCGCCCCCCGGGCCGCGCGTCCCGGGCGTCCCGGGCGGCGCGTGCCGTCGCGGGCCGCGGGTGTCCCGGGCGGCCCCCTGGGGCGTTGCCCCGGCAGCGGGCGTCCCAGGCGGCATTCCCCGGCGTGCCGGGCGGCGCGTCCCGGGCAACGTCCTGCAGGGGTCCTGGGCGGCGTCCCGGGCGAGCGTCCTGGACGCCTTGGGCATCGCGTGCGTCGCGTCCTGGGGCGGCCAGGCCGACGACGCCGACGGCGCCTCGCCGCCCGCCAGGTGCTCACGAAGCTATGGGCTTCGCGGCGCTGTTTGCGCTGGTGCTGTCTCTTGACTCTTGCCCCGACCCTGGCCCCAGCGCCGCCTGGGACGCGCTGGGGGCCGCCGGGCGCGCCGCCAGGGGCTGCCCGGAGCGCCGCCTGGGGCCGTCACGCCGCCTGGGACACCCCAGAGCAGCCATGACTTTGGCGAGGCGAGCGCGACAAGTGCGAAGGCGAGTGCGACGGCGGCGAGTGTGACAAGTGGGACGAGCACGACGGCGAGCGCAGCCAATGCGACGGCGATGCGAATACGACGAGTGCGACGGCGAGTGGGACGACCACGGGGGGGGGCGCGACGAGCACGAGAAGCGCGACGGCGACCCCAGCGTGGACGGAGAGGAGAAACCTGCCCGGCCCCAGCCTGGGACGCCGCCTGGCCGTCCAGGACGCCAGGGACGCTGCCCATAGGACGCCCCCGACGCCCGGGACGCCCAGGACGCGCCGCTCGGGACGTACGGGACGCCGCCTGGGACCCTCCCTGGGATGCCCGGGACACTCGCGGGAACGCTCGGGACGCCCGGGATGTCCAGGACGCTGCCCAGGACGCCCAGGACGCCCAGGACGCACCGGACGCTGCCCAGGACGCCCAGGACGCCGTCGGGGACGCTTCCAGGGGGCTGCCCGGGACGCCCAGGACGCTGCCTGGGAGGGCCGGGACGCTGCCCGGGACGCTCGGGACGCTCGGGACGCCCGGGACGCCGCCTGCGACGCTGCCCGGGACGCCGCCGCGGGCCGCCCGGAACGCTTCCGACGACGGTGGCGGCGGCGACGGCGACGACGGCGGCGACGGCGGCGCGGGGGGGCCGCGGCGAACCACGTCGCCGCTGAAGAAGGCGCCGCGCCCCCCGCCGTTCAAGGAACCAATCCGGCCGGGTCGGGCGACAACGACGGCGACGGCGACGTTGACGACGGCGGCGGCGGCGGAAACGACGACGACGACGACGACGACGACGACGACGACGACGACGACGACGACGACCGCCACCACCACCACCACCACCACCGCGACGACGACGACGACGACGACGACGACGACGCAAGAGGGGCAACTCGCAAGTGCCCCAGGAGCCATCCCCCACAAGATGACCCACAAAGCGCCGATCATGCCCCCATGATGCCCCGAAGAGACCTCCAAAAAGCATGCAGAAGGCACCTTGAAAGGGTACGGTGAAGGATTAAGTAAGGATGCCATTGTCAAGGAACGCGGTGGCTCGAATCGGCATAGCTCCTTCACTCTTTCAGAAATTGTGTAGACCCTGGACCACAGGGATTGCCCATCACGACTGAAGACCCTGAACTGCGCCCGCCAATCTTGAAAATACAAGCAATGTCCGAGGGCCTCGCCTGGAAGCAAAGATTCCTCATGGAACGCCTCCACCGTACCAACAGGCCGCCGCGAGGCCTCGAAGAGGACCTCAAAAAAGCCCCCAACAGGGACGCGGACGAAGAGGGGGACACGCCGGAAGCAATTAGTTTCACGCAGGCAGCACGACGGACGGCGGCGAGCAGTCCATATGACGTCGGAGGCCGCACAGTTCCTCTTCTGGGCGTCGGAGGAGTGGCGTCCGCAAGCCTTTCGAGCATCGGTACCCACAGAATCCTCCGCTCGCTGCGCATAACGAGACTCCTTCTTCCGCCACCGTGCCCCCGTGGTACGTTGAGGCGTGGCCGAAGCCAAGGACTGCCTGGTGATGCTTCTGGAATGTTCCGAAGGGCACCGCCCCCTCTCTACCTGCGTCCAACCGCGCGCATCGCCCCCCCCACACCCGAGGCCACGACGTCTCGTGCAAACGGTCCGCGTTCCCGAGGACACGATCCCTCATACAGTCGGGGCCTTGACCTAAGGAACCCTAAATAAGGAACGAGGCCCCTTTTTTCCATAAGTTAAACTTCGATTTCCTATCGAAAGCATAAAGAAAACCTGAGGCAAGCTGTGAAACATTTAAGGAACGCGGAGCCCCTCCCCAACGAAAAGGGTTCCTTCTTCAGGGCCCCGACTGTAGACCTAAAAGCCATGGACAAGCACTCCCGCGCCTCCAGGACCGCTCGGGTAGGCCACCAAGGCCGCCCAAGGAGGCCCAAGGTGCCTCCAAGATGGCCGAAGGTAGCCCCAAGGCGGGCCAAGAGAGCCACCCTCCTCCTCCTCCTCCTCCTCCTCCAGAAGAAGAAGAAGAAGACCCCCAGCAGAGTCCGAAGAAGCCACTGTGATTGATGTATTTCATGTGTTGAAGGATACTCGCATCCGCCTTTTCGGGCTGCAGTCAGATGAAGACGGACCAGGAAGCCTCCACGACGGCTCCAAGACGGCCCAATAGGCACCCAAGAGGGTTCCCAGAAGACCCCATGATGGCCCAAGATGCCTCCAAGACGG